TATATATATATATATATATATATATATATATATATATATATATATATATATATATATATATATATATATATATATATATATATATATATATATATATATATATATATATATATATATATATATATATATATATATATATATATATATATATATATATATATATATATATATATATATATATATATATATATATATATATATATATATATATATATATATATATATATATATATATATATATATATATATATATATATATATATATATATATCTTATCAACACACAGCACTGTTTTGTTCCCTAAATTTGAGCACCTTTAGGACTATCTTACTTTATATATAAGAAATTATTAAACCTAAAAAATAAACAGCCATTGAACATAACAGTCTGTGGTCTGGTGTTTGTAGCGGATATATTTTTTAATCTTGAAGAAAATAGTAATTACTAAATTTATTATAACTGAATTTATTTAAAAAGAATATTTCTGCTGTTCTGTCACACCTCTACATTATCAAAATAAAACAATGATGTTGTTATTGTATCCAACGGATTGTTATGATCTTCCACTCATGTCACATTAGTTCATGAGCAATTACATCTGTTGTTTATTAGGCCTCTTGTTGGTTTGTAGTTGAAGGATGCGATTAACCACTCAAGTATCCTCACAAAGGAGAAAGCAAACCTATTAAACCTCTGACTAGAGATGTTTTTGATTCTCATTTTAAATTTGTATCAAGTCTGATCTACAGACTGCCGATAAAACATGCATACGTTAAGCATACACTTTAAATATGTATGCTTTAGTACAGTTTACACGTTCTCATAGTTTTTTATTTATTTATTTAAGTGTTGATTATTATATCTAGAAATAAACAGCAATTGATTTGAATATTTTGGCCTCTGGTGTTAACCGTTGCTCCATTTATGCTTTATTTAAAAAAAAAAAAAAAAAAAAGCAACTGATGATGTTGTTATTGTGTCTGACGTGGTTATGATCTACCACTCACATTAGTTCATAAATGATTGCGGTTGTTGTTTATTAGGTCTCTCATTGACTTGTAGTTGAAGGATGCGATCAAGCACTCAAGTATCCTCACAAAGGAGTAAGCAAACCTATTTAACCTCTGACTACAGATATTTTTGATTCTCAGATCTGCCGGACTAAATTTGTATCATCAAGTCTGATTTACAGACTGCCGTTAAAACATACACACATTAGCATACACTTTAAATGTGTATGATTTCATTCAGTTTACACCTTGGCATAGTTTTTTTTTTTTTTTAATCAATTATTATATCTAGAAATAAACAGCAATTGATTTGAATATTTTGGACTCTGGTGTTAACCGTTGCTCTCTTTAAGCTTTATTGAAATGTTCAAAAAATAAAAATAAAAAAATAAAAACTATGCTGTAGTTATTGTGTCTGACATGTGGTTATGATCTACCACTCTCATTAGTTCATAAGTGATTGTGTTAGTTGTTTATTAGGCCTCTTATTGACTTGTGGCTGAAGGGTGTAATTAAGCACTCAAAGTTTCCACCCAAAGGAAAAAGCAAAACTTATTTAGCCTCTGACTAGAGATGTTTTTGTCAGGCTCTATTTTTATAATTAACAGTCTCTGATCTACAGACCGCCGTTAAAACATGACGGTCTCAAAGCGCACCAGTGGAGAACAGCACCGCATGCTGTTATTTTCAGCCTCAGTGTGTGAGTTTATCAATGAATGCTCTACTTGAGGACTTATCATCTAGGAAGGTATTCTTGTGGTAATCCAGAATGGTTGCTGGCTCTGAGAGCCTGGTCCACAGTGTTGATATAGCCATCTATCAGCCGCTTCATATCTGCGGTGAAGGGGTCGAAGGCGGGTCGTCGCGCACCTGAGCGCTTGAAGTGACCATCCTTGTTGCATTCGGCACAGAGGAGATGCTCTTCACTGACGCTGGTGTTGAGGAAAGAGGTGATGGATCGTAATGTTGGCACCAGCGATTGCTGCAGATCCTCATAATGCACCACCAGAAGCTGCTTTCCAAAGCGCAGCCAATCCAGCACATGAGAGGCCCACCAGGAGGCATAACTACCCACAAACTCTGGCCACTCTGGAAAGAAGAGAAAGCAGGACAGTGAAAAACATGACATTAAGGATTTGTCTTGTAGTACAGTACTACTGGCTAAGTAATGGTCAAATACTGAATATTGTTTTAAGTTAGAATTATGGAAAATGCTGTTTCTGGGTTGGTAAGAAATATTTATATTTGAACGTATTAACTAATATAAATGTGTTATTGTGTGTTTTATATTAATATTGAATAATAATAAATACATTAACTTTATATTGTTCAAAAGGTCATTTAAAAACCAAGAGAACCAATTAAATTTTCATTTCATTCATTCATTTTCTCGTCGGCTTAGTCCCTTTATTAATCCGGGGTCGCCACAGCGGAATGAACCGCCAACTTATCCAGCAAGTTTTTACGCAGCGGATCCACTTCCAGCTGCAACCCGTCTCTGGGAAACATCCACACACACACACATTCACACACACTTATTTGTTTTATTTCGGCTAGAGTAAAACAAATTTTTTATTTTTTTAAAACCATTTTAAGGTCAAAATTATTAGCCCCTTTAAGCTATATTTCTTTTTCCGATAGTCTACAAAACAAACCATCATTACACAATAACTTGCCTAATTACCCTAACCTGCCTAGTTAACCTAATTAACCTTTAAATCTCACTTTAAGCTGTATAGAAGTGTCTTGAAAAATATCTAGTCAAATATTATTTACTGTCTTCATCGCAAATATCAAATAAATCAGTTATTAAAAATGAGTTATTAAAATATTATGTTTAGAAATGTGTTGAAAAATAAATACTAAAACAAAAATAATTGATCAAAAAGAACTATATAGTTGCAAGAACACGTTTTTAAATAAAATTAAATTTAAACATCTCACAGACAACAAAAAAAACTAAAAACTAAATAACACTTAATAATACAGTTGAAGTCTGAATTATTAGGCCTCCTAAATTATTGGCCCCACAGTATATTTTCCCCCAATTTCTCTTTAAGGGAAAGAAGTTTTTTCCTGCACATTTCTAAACATAATAGTTTTAATAACTAATTTCTAACTGATTTCTTTAATCTTTGCCTTTTATCTTTCTTTTATCTATTTTAGATATTTTTCAAGATACGAGGTTTCAGCTTAAAATACCATTTAAAGGCTTGACTAGGTTAATTAGGTTAACTAAGCAAGTTAGGGTAATTAAGCAAGTCATGGTATAAGGATGGTTTGTTTAGTTGACAATGGAAAAAAAGTATAAATTAAGTGGGCGAATAATTTTGACCCTTATGTTTTTGAAAAAAAAAAAACATTAAAACATTAAATACAACTTTCTCCAGAAGAAAAAACATATTATAGGAAATACTGTGAAAAATTCATTGCTCCATAAAGCATAATTTGGGAAAACTTTGAAAAAGAAATTCACAGAAGGGCTAATAGTTTTGACTTCAACTGTACATAATATTACCAAAAATCACCCTGACAGAAATAGTGTCTCATTATGATATATCCAAGTCCCAGTGCCTGCGGAGCTCAACTGAACAAAGAGATGCCCATAATACCTTTGCCCTTCCAGTGCTGATCAGAAGCGTAGCCCAGATGCCCAGCACACTTGCGGTTGAACTCGGCCATGAGCGATCGGTAGGGGTTTCTTATCAACAGTATTGCTGAGTCATACATCTCTATATCCCGCTGGCCGCTCTCATGTGTCTTCACGCAGATGGTTCGTCCGCTCTTCCAGTAATCTTTCTCACCCTTGAAGCCTGCACAGTAGGAGGAGAAGCGGATTAGAATACAGCCAACTGCATGCCTCTCCATCCAAACACATACACTCCAAAAACGCCATAAGAAAAAGGCTGTTCTAATCCAGGCATGGGCACCGCAGACCCCCTCCAGCCAATGTGCGTCAGGTTTCTGTGATGGATTTGAAAAGGCACAGTGACTTTCAAGCAGGTCGAGTTCTTTAATGGTAGAGAGAAAAAAGAAAAAGAATTGCTCAATAAAGTTTGGCATTTGATAGAGAACAGAAGGTCAGCTGTGCCCAAATGTGCATTATCAAAGTCATCTCAAATAGCTGTGCAGAAGCAGAAAAATCTGAAATTCTGGAAAAGAAAAAGAGTTTAAACTTCATACAAACTCACTATAGAGGACTCTGCTCCATTATTTATCTATTATTATTCATTATTGAAGGTGACATTGTGGCTCAGTGGTTAGCACTGTCGCCTTACAGCAAGAAGGTTGCTGGTTCGAGTCCTGGCTGGCTCAGTTGGCCATTTCTGTGTGGAGTTTGCATGTTCTACCCGTGTTGACATGGGTTTCCTTCGGGTGCTTTGGTTTCCCTCACAGTTCAAAGACATGCAGTATAGGTGAATTGAATAAACTAAATTAGCCATGTGAATGAGAGTATATGGATGTTTCCCAGTACTGGGTTGCAGCTGGAAGGGTATCCGATGTGTAAAACATATGCTGGAAAAGTTGGTGGTTCATTGCGCTGTGGTGACCCCTGATGAATAAGGAAGGAAAATGAATGACTATGTCAAATAATTTTTTTTGAGCTGTAGTTGAGTACATTTTGCCTAATTTTGGTTATGATGCATAACAGTTAAACAGATAATCAGTCAAAATTCTTAAAATCAATCCCAGTTATCCCAAATTATATATATATTTTATATATATCACATTTTCTTAATGCAGAGACAGTGTGTGGTTGTAATATGGGGTAAAAAGTGAATAAAAAAATTAATCTTATTTTATACTTTCATAAATAATAGATAACCGCTAACACTAAACAAAATCAAACAATATTCAGGAATTTAAAATTATTTATTTTGTGCATTTTCAATTCTGTGAATTTCCCATTCATTTTCCTAATCAACTGGAATCAGATACTGTATAATAAATGTAAAACTTGCCATAAACTGGATCCATTACTAATGTAAATGAATGCAAAATGCTTAAATGTGATAGGGAACATCTGCTTCTGTTGCAGTCAGTTTTTTAAATGACTAACCGAGTTGACAATAACAGAGTTGACATTTACCACCATTTTGGGATTTAGGTCAAGATGCTAACCTGTAACTCAGGGGTGTTCCTGGAGGGCTGCAGCCCTGCAGTTTAGTTCCAACCCTGCTCTAACACACTTACCTATAGGTTTCAAACAAGCCTGAATGACTCAATTAGTACAATTAGGTGTGTTTAATTAGGATTGGAAGTAAACTAAAGCTGCGGTCATACTGCACTTCTCTCCTCATATGCACGTGAATGCGTCAGACTGGAAACGTAAGCTTGTGCATCAAGTTTCACAGTTCGAGTTTGTTGAACTCTGACCTGCAAAATCGCATCACTTGACTGCATCAGACCAATCGAGGATCAAAACATAACCTCTCTGAACAGAAAATTTAAATATGGACCAATCACTCGCTTTTTTAATGTCTAATCATCCTGTTTAATCCCGCCCCTTTTCGCAGTGTCGTACTACAGAGTTTCGCAAGTTCACCGCAGCTTTAGTTTGACACCTGTGCTTTAACCAAATGCCACATGTAAAGTCTAAAACAGACTTTTATGCTTTATTCAAATTCACTCAGATACAGTATATTTTTTATTACTTAATATCTACTTAATTAATATGTTGGGTGTAATATTGGTGTAACATTTTCTCAAATGAATAAGAAAAAAATAATGACATGCCTCAATGACTTCTAGAGTTTCCCATCAAAGGAAGTGACATCCCTTAGAGCAAGTCACATTCTCATGGAGCAAGTCACTTATATATAAAATAGATGCTATATGCAAATAGTAAACATGCAAAAATATTAAACATAATAAAAAATGGCATAATAACTGGCATAATGACTTATGGCATAATAACTGAAGCTGAATGTGTGGTTCAAGAGACACATATAGTCAAAAATAGATATAATGGGAGTATTTATCATTTGTTTAATTTATATACTGTTTCATTAAAATTTTTGTTTTTTATAAAATATACCAGCGATTCTAAAATCATCCATAAACACCATAAAGGTCAAGCCAAAATAAATTGAAAATTTAATGAAACTAGCTGCATTTAGCCTATAAAAACGTAAATCAAATAAAAATATAACTGTATATACTGTTTCATTAAAATTTTTGTTTTTTATAAAATATACCAGCGATTCTAAAATCATCCATAAACACCATAAAGGTCAAGCCAAAATAAATTGAAAATTTAATGAAACTAGCTGCATTTAGCCTATAAAAACGTAAATCAAATAAAAATATAACTGTATATACTGTTTCATTAAAATTTTTGTTTTTTATAAAATATACCAGCGATTCTAAAATCATCCATAAACACCATAAAGGTCAAGCCAAAATAAATTGAAAATTTAATGAAACTAGCTGCATTTAGCCTATAAAAACGTAAATCAAATAAAAATATAACTGTATAAATATGATAACTTGTTATTTTGATTTGAATAGGCAAATCCAATAATATTAACAATCACATTTTCCATGCAGAATGCAACTAATTTCATACTGTTATGGTGGCACATTAAGCTTTGGTTAAATGCCCACTTTCCATTAGAGACATTGGCCTGTTTATGTGAATGAGAGAAACCAGATAGCTATTATGATGAATTCATCTCATCCAATAACTGTGCAATAATATTTTTCAGACTGGCTTGATTTGCTGGAAAGTTGCCTCCAGCATGCATGGTTTTGGACTGGAAAGATTCCTCATTTCTGACAGCGTGATGATGGCATTACCTCTATTGTAGAGGGTGCCGTCGAAGTAGTAACTGCCTGTGTAGTAGCCGGTGGCGAGCTCAATCAGGTGCCTGACCCAGGTGTTTCCAGCTCCAGGAAAACTGGACAGAGCCACCAGTGTGCTTGACTTCTCAGGCAAAAACCTCTTATCTGTGCATCTGGAATCTAGAAAATAAAAAATACATTTCGAATAATCATTTACCACTTAAATATGGGTAAGAAACTACAGTTTCAGTATATAAACAACCATATTTTTTTGTTATATAGCATATTCAGTTAATATAAGTTAATTGCAAAATAAATATTTAATCAAATAGACAGTATATGTATGACTTTATTGAAATAAATAGCTTGGAATAAAGGGACTAAGCCGAAAAAAATTAATGAATGAATAAATAGCTTGAAGGCCTACATAAGCAATTTAACATTTATGATGCTGTGCTTTATTTCTGGCTGTGTAGCACCTACAGCTCTACTGAAAAATCAATGTTAGGTAATGTAACAATGATTAGGTACAGTGACACTTATTAATCTTCTCTCTTGAATGTTTTGTAAATTTGGTCAATAAAATAATCGATATATACAGGGATCAGAAAAGATCAGTGAGTCAGGATTCGAACTCAAGATGCCTGAACCACAGTGGCAAAAAATAAAGGCAAGATAAATATATTTTAAGGTTTTAACTATAACTGGATAACTTTAGTAATGATATTTGTCACTTACTCTGCTTATTTGAACCTTTGTTGCTTATTTGAACCTTTATCAGATCATACTTTTATTGATTTTTTAGTTTTTTATACTTTGTAGATCATGTTTTTGATTGGATTTTAAATAAGCAATGTAAAAAAAAAAAAACAAAACTGAATTTGTGTATAAAAGCTAGTTTATTGATGCTGCATGATAGAATAATATTCACTGAACACGGATTGTCTCCATTCAACAAGCCAGTATTGGTTTTCACATTTATATGAGCAACATCACACGCGTAGCAGTGCCTTGTGCCTTAGTGTCCCACCAGTAAAGAAATACAGCCACATTGCACTGCTACGAGTGTGAACTACTTCCTTCAGCCATTCAGTCACATATGCAGCTTACATCAGAACAGCAGAAACCTTTGCTACCTCACTGACAACACTTTAGAGCTATTTGAATGATTCTCTAGCATGTCTAAAGTGATCACAAAACAGGTGATTTTGTTCGCATTTTAAGATTTTAAGGCTGAACTGCATGAAATGCCATCAGTCTACAGAGATTTCCCAGTATTTCTCTATCGTAATCGGGAGATCACACTAATTAACCCTAAAAAAGCCAAAGCAAGGCAAACACTACTAAATTGCTGTTGTGTGTGCGATAAGAAAAAATGCTAAACACATGCGGGCATTTCTTCTTTCTTTTTGTTTACTGAACTAGTCTGCAGTATCTTACACTCACCACACTACAATTACTAAGGTATAAATACAGCACTACATGATACAAAATAGAGAGATCGATTTAGAAAGTCACTTACCAGTTTTATAATTATTTGATCAGCTGTAGTTTAAAATTACGCTGTATTTTTCCTCCTCTAAGGGCTTATTATGTAGTCTCTTTAAAAAAGATGTCAGGCATCTTTGGTCTGCTCAATGACAGGCTAATGGCTCTGATGGTCTCTCAGAAATTATAAATATATAAAAATAGGTACTCTACGTATAAATTAACTGCATAATTGAAATCTAAACAACTATATTTTCCACTAAAAAGCCTCAAAAGTAGTTTATGTTGTCCAACAGCAGCAATATTTGTGAAATTGTAGATTGTCCTCTGCTTGTTGCTAAATGTGAGCAGAGTAACAACGGTGAAGGGACGAGTGGACGAGTGCTGTTACTGGCAGAATATCTGATTCAAGAATATATATATATGTGTGTGCATGTGTGTGTGTGTGCATGTGCGTGTGCGTGTGTGTGTGTGTGTGTGTGTGTGTGTGTGTGTGTGTGTGTGTGTGTGTGTGTGTGTGTATATATATAAGAAAAAATGTTTCTCAAGCAAAAAAATCTTCATATTAAAATGACTCAGATTTGCCATCAAATGAATAAATGTAAAATATATTGGTGCAATTATCTAAAAATTTTTCCCATAATGTTATAGTCTTTAAAATGGATCAAATAAATAATTATATTTATTTATCTGTTTATTCACTCATTTGTTCAATTGATCTGTCAAAAGCAAAAATTTCCACTAGTTAGCAACCCAAACCCGCTCACAAAGGCACAAGCTGTTCAAGACACAAGCTGTTCATTCCTTTCAGCCTTCCTTAATATTTTTTAAGCAGCCTCAGATATGTGGGTACTTTACAGATATGTGGGTGCCCTTAGGCTATTATTTGTTGCTGGCAAGCTAAGCATACCAAAAGGCCATTGACTTTTACATTCTTTCATGAACTCCCAAAGAAAAAGCTTGCAGCTGAAGCAGGAACAAGTTTAATTCTACCACATATCTCAAGGCTGAAGAGCTCAGTGTGAGAAGAATAAACCTGTGTGAGGAGGGTAATGTGAGCACAGAGCTATTTATTAAGAGCAACGAGGGTCTTACCTTGAACAGGTGTCTGATAGACCTGGAGAAATAGCTGATGGGAGCTCTGGGTGGACAGACTGCTGTTTTCTACAGCGCAGAGCTCCTCTTTTAATGGCTCGTGAAGGGTGAATCGAGGAGTGGCGAAACCACAAAAACAGTCCGGCTTCCTGACCAGGGCCAGAGGAAACTCCTGAAAACACAGAGGGAATATGCTGTCAATCAGTCCCGGCAGGATTTGTAATGCAAAATCAAGCAAAATTCATGAGATTAAAAAAAAATATATACAGTGTCTATAAAAATGGAATTTATTCATATAGTGCATTTATTGTGTATGGCCATACACCCAAATTGCTTCACAATCATGAGGGGGGTCTCTCCACACCACCACCAGTATGCAGCATCCACTTGGATAATGCGACAACAGCCACAGGACATCGGCGCCTGTGCGCTCATCCCCACACTAGCTATAAGTGGAGTAGAGAGATGGAGCCAATACAGTAGATGGGATGATTGGGAGGCCATGATGGGGAAGGGTTGAAGGAGGGTATTTGGCCAGGATACTAGTGTTACACCCCTACTCTTTACGAGAAGTGCCATATGATTTTAATGACCACAGAGAGTCAGGACCTTGGTTTAACGTCTCATCCGAAAGACAGCACTCACTGACAGTATAGTGTCCCCTTCACTATACTGGGGCATTAGGACTCAGACTACAGGTTGAGTGCCCCCTGATGGCCTCACTTACACCACTTCCAACAGCAACCTAGTTTTTCCAAGTGGTTTTCCATCCAGGTACTGACCAGGCTCCGACCTGCTTAGCTTCAGTAAGTAACCGGTCTTGGGCTGCAAGGTGATATGGCTGTGGCCATCAAAAAATCATCAAACCACTTTGAAATAATTACTGTATTTGTAATACAGCCTAAAATCAAATCATCACATTCCAAATAACTTTTAAATCTTTTGGTTTAGAAGGTGTGAATTTTCACAGGATATGATGAGTTTCTATAGGCACTGTATATTTTATCAAATTTTCCACAAATTGGCGGATCATTCCGCTGTGGCGACCCCGGATTAATAAAGGGACTAATCCGGAAAAAAAAAAGAATAAATAAATGAATTTCCACAAACTTTGGGCAAAATTAAGTCCTGCTCACACTGCAATTTCAGCCATGAGTTAGACAAATTTGGTGAATCCTAAAAGATTCCTGCAATTCTAAGCTACAATCTGTGGCCTTTGATCATGGGTTTGATACCGTATCGCCACTTAATAGCTGTTGCCGTAAGTGTCAAACAAAGAATCAATCGAAGGGTTGAATCTGATGACGCAATGAGCACAACAACTTCAAACCAATGTGGGAAAATGTCAAAACAGCTTTTTTTTTGTTCTATTATTGAGGATGCTGCGAGCAATATGACCACTACAGTGTGTGGATGTTTGAAGTATCATGTCAGAATGGAGGATAGTGAATTTGTTAAGAATGGATGATGTTAATCACCAGGTGAGTTTTGTTGTGTGTCCCTGTTTTGCTTGTCTTGGTTGTCATTAAGTCAGACATTATGACAACCGAGATCTTCCACATATTGTATATAGATCTTTCGTGCAGTCTGACAATCTGCAATCATTTAGGATTCTTAAAAAACAAACACAAAAAACAATCCCTCCATGTGAGCCAAGCTTTAGACACATTACATGACATTACTGCAACTTCCATTTATTGATTTGATCACTCAACTTTTAGTTGGTTCAAGTAGGCATCTGTCACTCCTAGTTAGTGTAGGGTATCTCTGCAAACCCATTCCTGTGGTAAATGAACTCTCTTTCTCTCACACACACATAGACACATGCCTTCAATCAACCCGTTAAGTTTTGTGTTGTTTTCTTTCATAATACTATTTTCTAAACCAGTTTTGCTTAGCTTTTGCAAAAACTAGACAAATATTGCAACTTGGTGCACTTATGTATATGGTCACAAATCTAAATCTATTGTTCTTGCACAATAATTTAGCAGTCTAGTAACATAAACTGCATATTGATACAGTTTATCACTCTAAATCCACCCCCTTCAAATGTTATCACACTATTGAATGGGTGTTATCAGTGGTTATCAGATGATAGATATGGGCCAGTAGGGGCCTTCTGTGTCTACTAGTATAGGTGCAGAAGGCTGTTATCATCGATCAACATGGTTAATCAGGTATACTAATAGAGAAGACTCCAGATTCAAATCTGTTTTTACGTTACTGTGAGGATTGGGTTTAGGGTTGGGGTAGGGGTAGACGTTAATAAAAAACAATTAATGGGAAATTTAATAAATAATTTAAACAATTCTCGTGGTTAATCAGATATACCAATAGTGAAGACTCCAGATCTGTTTTTACATTACTGTGATGGTTGGGGTAGGGGTAGACACTAATAAAATGGGAAATTCCATAAATAATAAAAATCATTCTGGCCGTTGCCGTATATGATCTACAGCTGATTAACCATGAGGTTAAATGATAATAGCCTTCTGAGCCTACTAGTAGTGCTGGAGTGCAACAAAGCATGACCATCTGATAGAAAGGGCTCAAATTATACCGCAATCAAAGCAATAACGTGTCAGAGAGGACTGATTACAGACTGAATGTGGGCTCTTCAGGGACACATTCAAGTTTAAAGGCCATATTTACTGACAGCTTGAGGATCGCAAACCCACCCTAAATTTCATTCTCAACAGAGATCTGGCCAATATTTGTATTTTTATGGTATTACATTTCCATCCAGGCAGCAGTATAACTTAAGTAAAAGAAAAAGAAAAAACAGTCAAAATTAAGGACCTGATGGGGTCTGAGAATTCTGTAAAAACTAACAAGAAAAATGTGAATATGTCATAACTTAAGCCTAATTTTTAAAACGATGTTATCTTTGGAGTTTAGATATGACAGAAGAACTTGTGACTGAGAAACTGCAAAGTTAAATCAATATATAAGAGCAAAGCTTTTAGCAGATTAATCATTATCTAAACTGACAAAACTGTAATGATATGAAGCTCAAAAAACATGCAAACCAACAAAAATGACTTTGTTCACCTTTGTTTTCCATGCCAGTTCAGGGCACAGACAATAAGATGTTTGCGTGTCACACTGCTGAACTAATAAGCAATATGTCATACTGCCCATAGTAAACACACACAACCTGACCTGGCACTAAAGAGAAGAAATAGATGATCAAAATTGGTTTTAGTTTTTTGGTGCACAAAAGTGTTCTTGGAGCTTCAAATTATTACAGCTAAACTACTGAAGTCACATGTAATATTCTGTTCCTTTTCTGGAATTTGAACATCTCAGAAGCACACATATGGAGGACGAGAGAGCTCTCAAATTGCATCTAACATATCTTAATGGTTGAGTTAAAAAAATGTGATGCTTTGTTTGGTTATTTTTAACATTTATTGGGTTATTTATTAATAACTAAACCAGTTGAGTTATATATTTGGTGCTTTGTTGGGTTATTTTTAGCCTTTGTTTGGTTTATTATTTAATAACTCAACCAGTTGGGTTAAATATTTTGAATTTTAACAGTCAACTGATTTAACTGACACAGAACAGCTATATTAAGTAATGTTGTTTTTGCATTATAAAGTTTATTTAAGGTCTAACCAGGGACGAATTTAAACAATAAGCAAGGTAAGCGGCCACTTAGGGCCCCAGGAAATCTGGGGGCCCCAATAAATATCTAGAAGTTTAAATTATACCTATATATATATATAAAACATTGTTTTCTACAATATTTTGTGTGGTAAGAGTTAAACAAATACAATTTTAACGTAATTAAAAATATTATTTAATATACAATGAAATATAATATTATTATTATAATGCAATGTTTTTTAATAATACTATTAAAAAATAAAATATCCATTATGGAACAGTCCAGCATATATGTATTATTTTTTGTTGTAAATTAATAAAAAAAAAACTAATCATTTAAAATGTAGAGCTTGCATTAATTTAAAATGTTGAAAAGAAGCTTGAGTGATATAAAAAAAAAAACAGCAAAAAAAAAATCACAAAATCTGGGTCTAACACTGTTTTTTTTTTTTTTTTTTAAGGAAATGTTAAACATATTTGAGATATTCGGCCATTATGTTCACCTTTAGGACTAAAAAGAGACATCAACCCAATAATAATAATAATTTATTGTATAGTGGTTAAGTCACTTTTTGGCAAAGTAACCCAACAAATTATTTATTTTTGTAATCCAAATTCTTGGGATAACCCTAACAACTCAATGGATTGGGTAAAAATAACCCAACAGCAGGTTATTTTATTAAAAAAAAAAAAAAAAATATATATATATATATATATATATATATATATATATATATATATATATATATATATATATATATATATATATATATATATATATATATATATATATATATATATATTTATATATTTATTTTTTTTTTTATATTTTTTTATAAAAAAAAATAAAAAAAAAAAAAAATAAATAAATAAATAAATAAATAAAAAAAAAAAAAAAAAAAAAAAAAAAAAAAAAAAAAAAAAATTAAATTTTTATATATATATATATATATATATATATATATATATATATATATATATATATATATTTTTTTTTAAAAAAAAAAAAAAAAAAAAAAAAAAAAAAA